TGACAAAAAAGCTTAAATTAGTTTGCTAACAATGCGACATCAACAACAACAACAACAATGAGTCTCAAATTCTRCTGCTAGATGAGACCCACAGCGTATAAATTAATTATTTTAATCTGTTTACATGTCAACCACATGAGCTGCTTGCCTGCCACGCGGCCAAACAGCGCAAATTAAGAGTTAGCGGTTTCGCTAGCTAGGCTTAGGGGCGTGGCTGCATTTGCAAGTTAATAAAGCAAACACCTGTCGCTGTGCTGTCTCCATGGGAGCTTGAAAGATGTCATCCATTTGTTGCTCATACGCACCAACTTGTCTTAGGCATCAGCACTTAGCTTGGCAAGCAGCAGCAGCCACCCACTGCCCCACAACCACCCACTTGCCACCCACTTTCCAGCCGCCCTCAACCATAACGCTCACTCCTTTTCATTTGCGTTTGGGGCTCATTGCATGTGAACCACAAAACACTTTGAAGCAAAAAGTTTGCTGCGGCTGCGAAGTATATAAATAAGCGTGTGTGTGTGTGCACAGTGGTTAGCTATCTATAAGAAACTGAAAGATTATGTGCGTTATATTTTCCTATATTTAATCTAGATAGCTTGCATATTCTTCATTAGCTAAGTTAACTAAAAAGTAAAATAATCTTATATCCCATCAAAGGACACCTCAATTTGAATGAAATAAATGTTCGTATATAAACGAAAACATTTTTTTTCAAACTAGGTTAACTAAACAGTAAAAAAAAATAAATATATTTTATCAAAGAACACTCCCATTTTAACAAAATAAATATTCTTATATAAGCAAAAATTTTTCCTTTACTACCTTCACTATGAAATACATATAAAAAAATATATATATACACTCCAATTTAAAAGAAATAAATTTTTGTATATGAAAAATAGTCACTTATGATGAAGAATAGCTTCAGATAAGCACATTATGACTTAATATAATTTGTATTAATTTTTCAAAGCAAGTCGAAAGCGATGAAATTTTTACGTTAGCCTTAGATTGTAAAGAGATAATTTTTTTTTATTTTATTCCAGTAGCTAAAGCAGCCAATGTTATTTTCTACGGCTACGAAAGTTTTCAAATGGTAAAATAAAAAATAATATTGAATCTAAAACCAAAAATAACAAGAAAATTTTGAAAATTTTGTAATGAAGAAAATTATCCAACATACATGAAATGAGGAACAAATATTCCATTTTGCGAGCTGCATCAAATTTTCGCCAGTCGGCATACAAAATTAGGAAAATTTTCTATGTAAATGCTAATCTGGTAAATGAATTTTAGAGATTAAAAAATAAATAAATAAAATAAAATTCATGATGACGAAAAATAAGATTTCAAATACCTAATTTTCTATTACTTGTATTATATCACTTTAAAAAATTTTCTCTCTACCAAATTCGAGTTCAAGTTTCTAGTGGCACTGTACTGAACATTTTCCCATAGTTGCCACACCACTGTGCCATTTATATATGTCGCTGATGAGGCATCGTGTCTAGTCTCAAAGTACATATACTTAAAATTTTGCTCTCAGTTTCCATAGCTGTCGCACCACTGTGCCATCAGTGTCGCTGATGAGCCATCGTGCACTTTAAGCAAATTAGTTACGCAGCTCATGTTTTGCTGGTCCTGTTTGCTGTTCCTGCCCGCCCATTTAAACACATATACATATACGTATAGATAGATGCATATATGTATGTATATGTATTTAATATATAGACATTTTGTCAGCCCGCATATAACTGGCGAGTGTTTGTGTTGGCAAACAAATTTAATAAATAGCTAAAGACACAAAAGTCACAACCCTTTGCAATCCAATCCAGACATCCTTCCTCACACCAGCCACGCCCCCTGCCCCGGGTGGGTTGCGTTCTGCTTGGCTTGGTTTGCCTTGGCTGTGCGGCTGTCAACAAGCTGAAACTGAAGAAGCCATCGTCATCCTAGCCATGTCCATATTCATATTTACTTAAGTTTATGGCCCGTTGTATTTGTTCTTGTCAAGGGATATTGTTGTAAATTGTTATTGCTTGTTGTTGTTGCTGCTGCTGTTGTTGATGTTGTTGTTGTTGTTGTTGTTGCGGCCAGCCACATAAAATATATAACACTTCATTTTAACATATTTGCCAGAGTCCGCCTTCCATTTGCTGGCTGTTGGTTGTTTCGTTGTTTCTTTTTTTTCTGCTTTTGGCCAAAATGTCTTGAGCCAAATTCATGTGACGCCTACGACGATTACGAAATGGCAAAAACAACAACAGCCACTACAACGCAATGAGGGTCTTGTGTGTGTGTGGTGTCCGGGTGCAGGCAGGGGCGCTACTGGGATTTGTTTTGTAGTTCTCTCCCAGCCACTTCAGCATCTGCCGCTGACTGGCCTCATAATTTATATGCTAAACATATTGCGTCTTATACGGATTACACGAAAATATTATTTTTGTTTTGTTTTTCGGTTTTCGGTTTTGGTTTTTGGTTTTTCTGTGTTTAGTTTTTGACGCGCCGAGCTTAAGTGAGCAGAGATTTTGCAGTGTTTGCCTCGAGCCCAGCAAATCCCTGGCCAAACTAGCTGTCAAATGCAATTCGCCTTTGACATTTCCAAACAGAGGTCGAAACTACAATTGAGACAACTATTGTAACTAATTGAGCGTCGGTTGAATGTGAAGTGAATGGAAATTGAAATTGAAATGAAGCAGGTACAAATGGAAAGGTGTATTATAATATAATAATATGTAATGTTGATTTTAATTGAATGAGAAAAGTCAACGGAAATCAAACAAGTCTGCGTGTTTTAATTAGGAGTGGCCGACTAAGAGTTGCCCTGAGCTCTGCGCAGAGCTGATATTACAGTCATTCTACGTTTTCCTTTATACATAAGAGACTGACAATATATATACATACACACATATACACACATAAGCTTGTACTTCTATGGTCTTTAATGAGGGAAATATATGAATTAAATAACTCTTCTTCTGATTAAACTTTCTTAATCAAATTTGCATTACATTATAATCGCATCTACTTTAATCTATTTATTCCAGCAGAAGTCTTTACTATGAGATATAGTTAACAATTTGATGGAAGAGGAACAAAGTATTCAAAATCCGACGGACACATGGACGGGTGGACAGGCCGACATTGCAAAATCAACTCAGCCTAACGACCTGAACAAGAATATATATATACTCTAGGTACATGCACTTAAACAAAACCATTTATAAGGTCAGCTCAAATTTGCAATGGGTTAAATTGTATAAAAATAGGATAATGCATATATGCATATTTTGATATATGTTGAATATAGAGAATTACTATATACATATATATAAGAATATATATATCAGCTTATATATTCCATTTATATTTGTATGAGTAAACAAATTCAAGATTATATATAGGCATAGATATATATTACTATACTGTATTTTTATACATAAAACTAAATATAATAATTTCCATGTTTTATAGTGTACACATATAAATGTATATGTATATATAAACTAACTTTTACTTATTATACAAACCTTTTCAAATACTCCTCTGTTGCTCACATTTTCTATATCAACTAGTTAATTCCTTGTTTGGTACTAGATACCCCTGTAATCCATAATACGCTTATATATGTACATTTCCATACACAATCGACTGATTCTTTGATCAGCTATTTATTTATTTAGACTAAATAAATAATCGCTTGCCTTCCCACACTGCAGCTTATTTGTCATAGTCGTCAGCAAACTGAACTCGAAACGTAAGTTCAAGGTATTATTTAAACTGAAATTATCCTCGGTTGGATACAAGAGATAAACGGACGGAACATTTAACTACACACACTTGTAGTGCTTGCAATTAGATAAGGAATTCTCCATTGTCTCCGGAGTTTCGATTGTTTTATTTGTGTATACCCTGTAAGTAATATGCAATTGAAGGGTATGCTGGTTACATGCGAATGTGTGTAATGTATGCAAGTAAATACAGTTGAGTCTTTATAATTTGTATGCCACTAAATCAAAAATCGTGATAAATCGAGTGAAAGTTCTATCCTGTTGAAAAAGTTCGTTATCGATAATTCTCGATAATTTGAATTTCTGTGAAAATCGAAGAAAAACTCATCCCCTTGCAATTTCGAGTTATGGGGACTCGACAGTATATATATATATATCTTGTAGTCAAACATTAACTTCAGTTATTGGTTCTTCCATTATAGATTAACGATAAATTTGTTATTCTGCAAGCGATAAATATCGCTGGATGCTTGAGAGAGCAGATCTTAAGAATAAGAGCCTTCTGATTAACATATGTATGTGTAAGTAGGAAAGTAAGTCTATATACATCTTCCTCATAGAATATCTTGAAATGTATGTAGCTACTATTACATACTCTTCTGTTATAAATAATCGATAGCTTTGTTTATATGAAATCGATACATATTATATGCATAATGCCTGCAAGAGCAGGCCTTAAAAATTATATGAAATTAATGTAATGAATATAACAAACTTCTGCTCGATTTACTTGACTAAGCAGGGCATCTATTAGTCGCGCATGCCCATTTCATTGAGTCCACGCTGCTGCCCTGCAATTTCAGTCTGACTGACTGACTGACTGACTGCCTAGGTAGGCACCTTGTAGGCATTCAAGCATTTGCCATTCGCATGAAGCGCTCAACGATGCATGAACCATTCCGCAGACTGAACTGCGACTGTGAATGTGATTGTGAATCTGTGTGCGTGTATATGTGTGTACACACACACACACATCAGTCTGAGTCATGGCTAGCACACCCACGGCGCATCACCTTCCTGGTTCTATGCACCGGCCATGCTCAAGGCCATGCTCATCCCCCAGTCCCAGCCACAGGTCAGCTCGACTAGCAGTTCCCAGTATTTTCTTGCCCCAAATTTCAATTCTGCATGACTAAGCAAATGTAGGGTCGAGTGCACTTCCTTATGGAGTTGTGGCTAGGGCAAAGCTGTTATGCGTGCAACACTTACCTCAGTTGATGTTGTTGAATTTGGCGTTTCGTTGTTATTGTTGTTGTTGTTGTTGTTGTTAAACGACGCTGCGCTGATAAAATATTGCTGCAACTATTGTTATTGTTATTACTGCTGCTGCTGTTGTTGTTATTGTTGTTGTTGTTATGGTTGCTGCTGTTGTTGTTGCGGCACCAGAGCGGCAACTTTTGCAACTTCTTCACGTCCGGCGATAGGCCAATAATGCGCGTGGCAGCCGCACTCGCACTCAGCGGTGACGTCATATTGGCCAATTCACTGGCATCCGTATCATCAGCATCAGTTTCGAGCTCCTCGCGCAGCTGTTGCTGCTGCTGCTGCTGCTGCTGCTGTTGCTGCTCGTTGCGCATGCGACGCGTTGAGCGACGCTGCGGCGGCGTCGGCGTTGGCTTTGTGGTCAAGCGACGGCGCTGAAAGCCATTCGATTGTTGTTGTTGTTGCTGTTGTTGTTGTTGTTGTAGCTGCTGCTGTGCTGTTGCTGTTGCTGTTGCAGTTGCTGGCGTTGCTAATGCGGCCGTTTTGACAGGCCTCAGTTTGATATCACTTAAGTATTGTGGGCGTGGCAGTTGTATGTTGCCGTTGCCATTGCTATTATATTTGTTGTTGTTATAACTAAAGTTGTTATTATTATTGTTATTGTTGTTAATGCTTTGCCAATGCTGCTGCTGCARTTGCCTTGAATGTTGCTGATGATACTGTTGCTGTTGCTGCTGCTGGTGTTGTTGCTGCTGTTGCTGCTGTGTGCTCGCTGTTGTCATTGCTGTTGCTGTCGTTGTTGTTGTACCATGATTAGGCGCTGAGCGCAAATCATTCAGCATCACATCCAGATCGCTGGCCAGCGAGCTGAGCAGCTGCAAAGAGCAAATCAAAAGAAAAAGGTTACACGAAATTCGAATATCGAAATCGAATAAGAATTATCAATAAAAGAATTTAAGAAAGAAGAGAAGCAACAATTCATATAACAATTGAAGAGCTGATTTTTATATACTGCCATACACATATACATATATATAAATATGTATTTTCCTTTGCAGTCCTTGATTAACTTTTTCTTCCTATCTGTTGGTCCTTTGATGTATTGCCCTTCTTTGCGCTTCTCAATTATGTTAAAAACTTGTACTGGTCACAAAATACAGCTGTACCTCGCCTCATTCTTTTTTAGTTTCTAGTCCATTATCTCTCTCTCTTTCTCTTTCTCTTTCTCTCACTCTCTCTCTCTCTCTCTCTTTCTCCCTCTCTCTTTCTCTCACACTCTCATACACACACTCTCTCTCTGTTTCTCATTCTTACACATACACTCTCTCACTTACTCTCTCCCTCTCACTCTTTCTTCCTCTTCCTCTCCAGCTCACATTCGTTCACTCTTACTCTCTTTGTTTCATTCCCTCTATCAAACTATCTAACTCCCTCTCTCTCTGTCTCTCCCTTTTTCTATCTTTCTATCTATCTATCAATCACATTCTCCCCGTCTCTCTCTCTCTATCCATCTCTCTCTCACTATGTATTTCTCTCCCATTCTACTTCTCTCTCACTGTCTCTTTCTCTCTCTCTATCTGTATGTAAGTAAACTGATATTGGTCAATAATGAAGCTTTATCTCAGCTTTTAATCAACTCTTTTAATCTTTGACCCACTCTCGCTCTCTATCTTTCTCTTGGTCTCTTAACACATTGCTTTCTTTGCGATTCTCATAAGGTAGGTAAATTTGTATGGGTCAACAATTATGCCTTATCACCACTCTGATTCCAATCTCCACTTTAATCCACGCTCTATCTCAGTCTCTCACTCATGCTTTAACGAAGTTCAAATTTTTACAAGATAAGATTTGTAGATTTACTTTT